TATATTGGTATCAGAGCCTAAGTAGGTTGTTTTCTTGTTTAATGACATGCTAAAAATGGTTTAATGTGATGAATATGCATGTATGTCATTTTTCTTCAAAGTTTGAGTACCTTTAATGGCAAGTTATGAAATATTTCACATAAATTCATGAAATTTATTCTATATATTCATATCAGTATGTAGAACATATGCGAAAATTTTTACGTTGCTTGGTTTTGTATTTGGAGAGAAAAATGGAACCTTAGTTAAAGAACCATAAATTTCATAATATGATAATTCAATGTATGTTACGTTTTGTACTGCTTATTCACTCTTGTGGATAGATCTTCTTGAGACATTTTCAAGGATATAAAGATTACTAAATTTGGCCTTTGAAAGTAAAAAGTTATGACCTCCCAAAATTTGGTCGTTTTTCTAAAAACACTGCATAATTTTGAAGAAGATGAAAGTAAAACAATCTATCTCCCACTCTCGAACCAATTTGCTAATGTCCTAAACATGACCTTAGATATTAATGTTGTAAAATCTGACCCAAAAAAAAATTGAACCTGGAATGTCAAAATTAGGGAAACAAACCAAACGAAAAAAAAAAAAAAAAAAATTGGTACTGATGAAATAGCGCGTGCATCTTTTGTTCCTTCTGCACGGGCCACTGACTGAAGATCCTTCTATCCTTTTGCACTGATACAGCTGCTTGGAAGTCTCATACCTTTTTACTTGTGATTGTTCATCATTCAACTCGTTGAGATGAAAAATAATCAATTTTTCTCATGTTTGAGAACAATTCTCATATTGCGGCGAAAAAATTTGGCCCAAACAATTTGTTGGCATCCAGTATGCCTTAATTCATATAATTACTCATGATTCAAAACTGTAAATGACGAAAAATATATCAATTAATTTAACATGGTCTTTTATTAAATTAATTATACATTTTAACTGTTTTACTACTTAAATTTATCACATTGTCACATAAATTTATGATATTTGTATTCGATTCTCAATAGGTTAGGATCACATTTTTTATATTATGACTTTGACTGTACTATTATCAATTGTATCTCCATACAACTCCTAAATTATTACATTGACTACTCTTTGTCTTCACGTATCATATGTGTTAACTTAATTATGCATTAAAATTTATCTCCTTGAGTGTATTAAATGACAGATAAATTTTAATTAAGTATAACTCATCATTCATAAATATCTAATACTTCATAAGTGTCAAACATCTGTTTGATGGAGCTAAAAAAATGAGAATAATAGGGTTGTTCTCTTCGTATTTTAGTTTTGAGTTTTGAATTCATTTTGAGTTTTGTATTTTGAGTGTCCATTTTGAAATTGTTGAAAACGCATTCTTTTTATCATTTTGAAAAATTGTTTTCAAAAATAAAAAAAATGAAGTTTTGGTTTGATTTTAACTGAAAATAGCCAAAACGATTTTTTTGACGTTTTCCTGACGTTTTCCGTTTTCTTTGTAAACTTTAAATTTGTTTTCGGAAATTAGTTTCTGAAAATATGTAAGTATTTCAATATTTTCGAAAATTGAAAACTGAAAATGGCTTGAAAATAGTAAAGAGAACATGCCGTTAACTTTTCTTCAAACTGTTAATAAAATAATCTAAAAATTGGTTCACCCCTGTTGAAAAGATGAAATTGCTCTCCTCATGTGATTTTCCCCCACACGTTTGAAGAAGGCTATTTCTGTACATTTAACCCCCATGTGACAGATCCCTTGAATTTCATAGCATTTTTTTTATGCGAATTGGACCCACGAAGAGAAAAAGGTGATTTTTTTTAAAAATAGCAACGGCACGCGGGAAGTTTCACTTCAACATATTATTCATCGTAGTTCATTAAAAAATTTCTTGGCCTGCAAATTATCTTTGTAACAGAATCATCAATTATATTTAATAATTACTATCTCGACTAAAGAAATCTCTCAATTACTAATGTAAATAACAAGTTTTTAGTTACCGTTATTGGACAATATGACGTTAAATAGTTGTATTTGATCACGTTGTTCTTCAGTTTTATAAATTAAAATTTGGTTAAGGATTATAGGTAGTCCATTGTCTATTTATTGCACTCTAGTGATGCAATATCTTCTCCCCTGCTATCCAATAATTTGCGGGTATTTAACCAGTCTTCTAATATTTTTAAAAGTTTTTGTATATATCCACTCATTTGGATGATCTCAAAGCGTTGAACCACTCAATCGTCAACACATGACGACCTAATATTTCATTTATTTCCCATCAAATCTTGGAGGTGATTGCATTTGATGTTCTCGAATTCATCATCTTCAAATGCTTAATAAATGAGATATACCTTGCAGGGTCAACCATCGATTTTTTCTTGAGATGGGAGTATTCTCCTCTCTTTGACTTCTTGTACTCTTCGTATGCAACTACCATACTTCTTATTCTACAAAGAATGCCTTCATTTTTTATGCTCAATTTATCATGGATGCTTTTGTTCGGTGATGGAACTCGGAAAAGAATCCTTCCATTTTAGTGACAGTAAGTACTGAGTTTCATACTTTGGAAGTAAAAGAATTTTATCAATTGACCCACAACCCTAGTTTAAACATAAGCTCAACAATATTTTCATTGCACAAGGCTAATAAAAAGTGTGGAGAATAAAGATTTTATTTGATAAAATATAGAATTCTTGATATGATTCTTGACATAATGACGCATGCATCATTAGATTGTTTTTAACATTATCAACTTTTTCATCAAATCATCTGTTGTCAACTCGATTTATGTCACCGTATCTATTAAATTTCTTCTCGCAAAGTGGCAAAATCCATTCTTATAAGTTTAGTACTTATTCCATGTCTAATCGATGTAATCTGACTCAATACTTGTTTATATTCTTGCAGAAATGACAATGATTAAGAATCTTGCTACAGGTACACGGGCGTTTACACGCCCATGTACCTGACCCCACGCCCCCTCTCACAATGAGGAGGGCCCGCCATTATTTTAATCACCTCGGGGCCCGCCTAATTGTGAGAGGGGTTGTGGGCCCATGTACCATGGCATGTAAATGCCCGGCTATCAATAGCATAATCCCAATGATTAATATGCTGGGCCATTATGGCAAAAAAAAGCGAAAAGATATATAACCAAGTTTTTTCTAGATGCTGTAAAAAGTATCAAGAAAAGAATTTTAGAATCACTTACAAGAAGTGACTATTATGAATCATCATGAACATGCAATTTATTGAATGTTCAAATTTACAGGTAGGTAGGGCCACCACGATAACTTAGGCCATAGTAGGGATGGCAAATGGGCGGGTATGTGACGGGTCGGCCATTCCCATCCCCGTCTTATCGGATATTTTTGTTACCTTACCTCCATCCCCATACCCGTTTAAAGCGGGACGAGCCCTGCCCCATTTTTTATTTTTTTATTTTATGTCTTTACTTAGTAAATATTATAATTTTTTTACCAATTTGTTAGAAACAACTTATGTCCTCTTTAAAAATATGATAAATCTATTATTTTTGTTTGATAAAAAACTTAAATTTAAAATTAATTTTAAACTGGACGGGTAGCGGGGCGGAGACTATGATTCCCATACCCGTTTCGGGGTAATGACTCTTGGCGCATCCCCGCCTCGTTTACCCGATTAGGCGGGTAATCTCCACTCCGTTCGGGGTGGGGCCCCACAAATTTTAGGTTGAACGGATTTTTTTGCCATCTCTAAGCTGCATCAGTCATCTTATTCAAGAAAGAGGAGGAATGATTCGACAGCTTGGGCTCACAACAGCCACCTGAAATGGCTGAAACTAAAAAATTAAAAAAAAAAAATTGTGGGCTTCTGATCTCTTGGGGTATATACACTGGTCCCTTTTTTCAATATGATCATAGATGCACTACTAGTATGATATAAATATTTGAGTGATGTAGAGCATGTTATCTTCGGACAGGTGAGTTTTAATTTTATTGCACGTTAGCTGGACGTCGAGTAGAGCTTGCTCCTAAGTTTNTTTTAAATAGTGATATGATGGGAAATGTGTGGTTGAAAAAGAAGAAAAAATTATTGATGTGATGGAAAATATTATTTTATTGAAGAATGTGTGGTTGAAAATGAGAATTGATTTACTGTAGAATTTGAGAATCCCAAACAAACAAGCTCTGAGATTGTAAGTGAGATTATTGAACATGTATTTGAGCTCGTGAAAGTATTTTAAATTAAATTTCACAATATTCATATTTATGAAAATTGAAAATTTGTAGTATTAAGCTTTTAAATGACTAGTTAGTTAAACGTTATGATCTTGAATAAGTCTGTCTAATATCTATTTAAGGTGAGCAAGCAACCTTTGTCAATGAATTGTTCCATGCAAATTAAATTAGTCTTAATTTCTTGAACCAAAAGTATAAAAATGACACGGCTGTTTGACAAAGTTTTTTGATAAAAAAATTTAGCATATTTTGATAAAAGTTGATGAAATGTATGATTGAAAAGTTAATAAAAGTTGTAGATCTCATGAAATATAAGATTAAAATTGAAGTATAACCAGTACAAAAATTGATAAAATTTTATAAAACAAGCAGTAAAGTTTGAAAATTAAATCCAGCATAAAATTAAAACATAACTTGAAGTCAATATCATTCTTCACATAATATAAAATCTCATTTAGGCCACCATAACAAATCGTTGCAATATACAGCAATTCTTCATATATTTCTCCAAAAACCCTAAATACTACTTTAGTGTTCGTATAAAAAATGATGGATTTATCAAACTCTACACTCGAGAAAATATATTGAAAGATTTACATTCAAGAATCATAACCTAAATATAAAGTTACTTCAATATATATCTATACATGATTGATCTGGGGTGATATGACACACTACAATAGGTGGTGAGAGGTAATTGTTGATTACAAAATTAATTACAATATATATCTTCACTTGATGCTTAGCTTATATTTATATATTAGTGAAATTCTGAATCTATCTTTGTGAAATGTAATCTAGAAGTGATGCCTAGTTGTAACATGCTGATGATCAGCCCTATGATTTGGATTATCAGGATCGCTTGAGAGTGCATCTGACGACGGTGCAGTACTACCTGGAATTGGCCTAAAAGCATTGAGTGCCGCAAGCATGCCTAGATGGCCATCCACTATCGCACCATCACCACCACCACCAGCGCCGCCCAGTTGTTGTCCCTGCAAGAGTGCCATTGGTGGAGGAAAATTCATAAAATGTAATCCACCACTATGCATTGAACTTCCCAATGGCCACGAAGGGTTACGAGTACTACTAATCATTTGGCTGTTAGAATTTGTCACCATAAGATATGCTGTAGCCGGAATATTTTGGCCTTGACTAGCCGGGATTGAACTTGTGCTTGATTGTAACATATAATTATGACCCCCCATTTGTGTTTGAAGTAGAGGTGGCAGATCTTCCTCCAGCCGCCGTCTTCTTCCCATGCTTGTCTCTCCCTCCGTCGTCGTCGTCTCATTCTCAGACGATAATCCAATCACAGGGAACAAAAATCTCCTCTGTGATTCTTCAATACTCCTTAACTGAGAGCTAACCGGGTAATTTTGATTGAAAAAACTATTCCTTAACGGCGCCGACATGGTGGAGCCTGAACTCCTAACTGATATATTCAATGAAGTGAAATTTGCCGGGATGGTTCCGGTACCTGTGGCGGCAATCACCGCCGGCTCAGCCTGCTGAAGCAACCATTCGATGGTTTCACCATCAGATTTATGACCTAACTCTCTTGTAAGCTGAAAAACCCTAGCAGCACAAGTTGCCGGCATACGGATCCGCCGTCCACGGCCATCAACTTTGGTGTGCCTATCCTTGGTGGCGGTTCTCTTTATCGGCGGCTTTTTGGGTGGTTCTGAACCGGCACCGGCCGTCTTTGAGCTTGAACATGCTTCTTCTTCTCTTTTCTCAAGCAATTGCAGTGGAAAATTTGGCCTGCGCATAGAATTTCCATTACCAATATCAGCATCCATGATCATATAGTAAAAGTATATCTGTCTATATCTATATCTGTAAGATGACCCTTAAGTCAGTGTTTTGTGGGTCTTTATCTCTCTAATTATATCTCTCTAATTATAAGTATTAAGTTGGATTTTTGCAATTTCCTTTGAGATGGGAGCTCTCAGTTGGGTTTTTTGATAATATTTTTGAGGAGAGAGAAAGAGATAAGAGTGAGTGCAAGCTTTAAGCAACAAACATAATGAGTGGGAATTATATCACTGGGGAATGGCTGGAGAAAGCTATCTTCTTTATAAAAATCTTTGCTTTTCTGAGGCTACTAAAGTAAAATTCCAGTTTCTGAATAATTTGGGTGATTATATGCTCATGAATTTACAATTTCCTACTTTTTTTTTTATATCAAAATATCCATTACAATGTCATCTCCGTGTCTAAACTTTTATTCCCTACAATACAATGCGTCACATCATTTTAGACCGTTTGAGTGGTAATCTATCCTTTCACCTTCTTTAGAGCTACAACATGATTGTCGCGGAAGCTTGCTCCAAGAATCGTTAAAACGGTGATTTTCGGGTTCAATTTCACGTTACATTAGAGATAGTTTTTTTAGTTAGGTTTTGACTCTAACCCACAATTAATATATTCATCTCGATTGCTCCTCAATCTCATCCACAAAGGACAAGATAACGGTGATGATTTGTAAGTTACAAATGCACGAGAAATACAATCGAGGAAGACACAAAGACGAGGCCAAATACACAAAGAAAGCCATTGATTTTTCACTCCCAATGGCAGCCTTTTTCTGCAAAGGGGCAGCCATGTATTCTCTCTCTCTTTTTTCCCCACACAAATCATACACTATACAGCTAGGGTAAAGACACCACATATATAGGTTATGTTAGGTTTTAGTTGGACCAATAAAATGTTTAATGGATGAAGATTCAAAGTTGGAAAGATGTAATATATATGGGTCGTGAGCAACATTAATTGTTTAAGTTACTTCCAACGGTCCACGTTGTTTTTGGGTCAAGCCTTTGGACTTAGTTGTGGTAACAATTTAATCTAACGTTGACATCATAGCACGTGATCCATTGGGTATCAAAACCCAACAAATCTAAATCTTGATACCCAATCAACTTGCAAGCAATCAAAACACAAAGTTAACAGTTGCATAATCAAGACAACCAATAAAATTGGGATCACAGATCTTACCTTGTGTTTCGAACCCAAAATACATATCATACATGTTCCATGTACTCATTAAGGCTAAGGTCAAATAACACCCAAGTAGAAGCAGATAATAACGGTAAACAATCAAGAACAAATAATCATGCGATGAAGATACAATATAAAATAATTCATAGATCTTTTCCAATATACGTTCACACAGAACAATATATTAACACTAAGTTAATCAATCAAATGGTCAAAATACATATGCAATAAATGTATAAATGATCCCATGAAAAGATCTAACCACACACTTATCCTATCTCATTCCGTGTTGCTCACACCTCGAGAACACATATCTCCTCTTATCGCCCACTGTGCTCACCAAATTGATTACTCTACTCATGTCTAACTGGTAGACATCTATAGACCCTAAATCATTGGGATAATCCTCTATCACCACATCACTTCTTGCAACCTAAGTGGATAATTGGTCTTCACCTAACAAAAGTAATAGAAGTGCCTATCTCATACTCCACATGATAAATGTGTCTTTACAGATAAATAATTCCAACATTTAATCACCTATTCAGTCGTGATCCAAATGTCACGCTCCACATTCCCGATACAAACTACCAATATACCACTAGACATCTATAATCCACATCACCAATAGACATACAACACACTATTAATGTATCTTAACCCACTATGCATGCAAACAATTTTACCAAGTAATTAAATTGTTCTCAAATTCATGCAAATGGACATATCAAATACATTGAAATGCACATATATTCATACAATCGAATTAAGAAATCACATACACGCAGAAAAGATTACACGCGGATGCACATACAGTAACTAAATTTACTCTCAATAAATATCACTAGGGTCATCGCTCGACCCTAGAGCCACATTCGTCTCACTTCTAATCTTACACTTCTGCTTATCTTTTTTTTGGGACAATCTCTCACAAAGTGTTAAAACTTACCACAGCTGTAATACCGCTCATTATCGAACTTGTCCCATCCCTTGCCTTTCTCCTCGTCACCCTCATCACTGAGTCACTACTCGAATCACTACTGTCTTGATCTTTACCCAAATTCATTTGCTTAAACTTCATTCTACTTCTCATCATATGTAACTAACCGCTCATCTTATTATCTTTTTCAACCTTAATCTCTATCTCCTTACCTCCTAAGGGAATCTATGCCAATCTTGGGTGTTGTCCATATCATAATTAATCGCATTTTTAACCTTTCTATACGAATCAAACACAGAGTTAAGTAAAATTATGGCAGTTCCAGACACCTTCTCATCATAATTAACGATATCTTGAATAAATTTGTTAAAATATTTGGATTATTATTAAGATCCTTTGAAGGATCCATTTTAAAATTGAAAAATCTTTCAAGCAAGTATAATTTATTAGGAGTAGATTTAAGCAAATATAAATCTCTCAACTTTTTTCAAAGTTCTTTTGTGGTATCAATTTTTCTCAAAACAATGTCAGACAGATGCAAAATAATTGAAGTGTAAGCACCTTCAATCTCTAATACCACTTTTCTAATAAGTTTTTGGTCAGTTTTTCGAGCCAAATCCACCACCTTAAATCTCTAATACCAATTTTCGTGGAAACTTGCTCCAAGGGTCATTAAAACAGTGATTTTCGGCTCAGTTTCATATTACTCTTCTCTACCAAAGAACCAATCTAAACGGCTCCAACCCACAATCAATATATTTATCTTGGTTCTTCCTTAATCTCACCTACAAACGACAAGATAACGGTGATGATTTGTAAGTCGTAATGACACGAGAAATACAATGGAAGAAGACACAAAGAGGAGGCCAAATACACAAAAAATCCATCGATTTTTCACTCCCTATGGCAACCTTTTTCAGCGAAAGGGCAGCCATGTATTCTCTCTCTCTTTTTTTTTTCCACACAAGTCATACACTTTCCGGNAGTACAAGACAATGACATGCCTGAACAATAAAATATGTTCACAAGGCAATTTATTGCATTTTTTTTATTTTTTGAGAACCTAATTTTGAATTTGGAAAGACTTTTAAGTATTCAAAAGTCCAAATTAAGGGCATGTTTGTTTTTTATTCTTAAATTTTACAGTAAATCAATTCTTATTTTTAATCACACATTTTTCAATAAAATAATATTTTTCATCACATCAATAATTTTTTCTTCTTTTTCAACCACACATTTCCCATCATATCACTATTCAAAAATCAATTATTCCCCCAAAAATTCCTACCAAACAAGCTCTTAAATAGGCCAATATTTCATCAAGTTTTCCAAAAGTTATATACATGGGGCCGTGAGCAACATTAATTGTTTGAAATACTTTCAACGGTCCACGTTATTTTTGTGTTCCAACTTTTGGACTTTGTTGTTGGTAAAAATTCAATATAGCGTTTAAATATCATAGACCGAAATTCATTGGGTATCAAAACCCAACATAAATAAAGCCTTCATTTGGTGTAGATTAAAATCTATTTAAAATTTCAAGTCAAAGTTAATTATTAATTCTAACCACACATTTCATCTTTTATCAAAATTTACTAAATTGATTTTAATTTCTACCAAACAGGGACAAAGTAAAATTGGACTCTTTCACTACATCAATGCTCTCTATCAACTACTTCGAAAGTCAACTATGGAACCTTTTCGACCACTGTGATTACTAGGAGTTCACATCCCCATTCAGATCTTCATCACACGTTTAGAGATTTATGTTGGAAGTTCTACATGGTCAATTCTTGATAATATTTGTTAGAATTCAGAGTTCTATTCTAAAACATTATATAATTATAAATAGTACACATTAGACCATTAAAAGTAAATATAGAGTATATATGTTCAGGATGAGACGCATAGATCAAATCTCTAACGGTTAAACCTTTTATCTATTTATTTTTTTATGAAATGATAGCAAAACGGTCCCTTGATTCAGACTCCACGGGTGGGGCTTTTTAGATGAATATAAATTATCGTTCTGAAACGAATCACTATCTCGCTGAACATGTTAAAAGGCAAAAGTTTCACGTCTGTTAATAATGTTGACATTTTAATATAAACTGCAAGTGTCGATACATAACACAAAAAAATATGTATATATTCCACTTATGACTTTTTCTCTTTTATCCATAAGTAAATAGTATATAGCACTTAAAATATTGATTAGGACTATTAAATATTGTGTCGGAACATATATATAGCTCCTTGACAACCCACTCATTTTGGGATATTTTATTCATGAGGGTCCCACGTGCATGAGTTTTGGTCAAGGATAGTGCCAAATTCTAATTGACAAATGAGCTTAATTCAAAAGCTTTAGCCTCGAAAATCCTATTTCACTCCCTTCAAATCAATCATATTATTTTTTTCCATGAAAGATGAACCCATAATATAGTTGATTGACATGACAAGAATCAAACAAAAATTAATTAGGTCACCTCAGCTGGTGATGCAGATGGCTTACCATCTAACTTATTAAGCTTATCATTCAAATAATTTTGTTTGGATGTTTAACCACATTACTTGTACAATTCACGCTTGACAACATCACTTTCGTTCATCCATTTCAAAATCTGTTTTTAAAATTAATCGTTCGAATTTTGACAAGCATGATTGTACAAATAAGTTAATTCTTGGATGTTCTAATTCTTCAATTCAAAATAATTCAATTTATTCTCAACATTTTTGTAGGTTATGTTCAAGATTTTTGAAACACTCATTTGACATGTTACTGTTTGGGCTCCATTTCAATGTGATTTTTGAGAAAATGAATTTTAAAATAGTGAATTTTTGGAGAATGTATAGTTA